TATTTTTTTTTTATATAATATATTTTTTTATATATAATATTTGTATTATTTCCTAACATATTTATCTTGTGTTAAATTAATAAATTTAAGGTCCGTATTTATGTTATAAATTGATCCACGATTAATCTTTATTTCAAACGAGTAGGTTTGAACTAATCGGATTTATTAAATCGTGATTTGAGAAGCGTTTTTCAAATGAAAGATCAATTTAAACCTAGTAAATCGAATCTCATGTTGAATCATGACTATGAATACGACCCTATGTGGATTGTATTGAAATGTCAAATTTTACAATTGTGCATCAAATTTGTCTTTAAAAAAATACAATCTGTAATAAACAAATATTTATATATACTTTCTTATGAAAATTGCGGCAGAGATAATAAAGAATGCACGATACATTCATTAATGGTATTTAATCGATTAATTAATTGCTCTGACTTTCGACATGTACACGATAGCAGTACTTACATAACACAGCGGGAGACCGGCAGGAAGTCTAATACGCGAAATTACACGAACACGCGTATAATGGCGATCGCGTGTCTTGCACGTACCAATAAGCAGTGACAAACACGCGTTGAGGCAATCAAATGCAACGTGTGTCCTCCCACGTAATCACTTCTCTCGCCAAGTCGACTCCACGTGAAATTCCTTCGGCCGGCTGTTTGGCTGCAACTGAAATCGCAACACGGAAAACGGCGTCTTATACGCGACGAGATGCTAATGTTGACTTCGACCGCGGAGGACAAATATGCGGTCCATTGATAAGTAATCCACGACCATGCGACGCACGTCGCACTTTGTATACATTATAATACCTGACGGCAATGATGTATTCGTTGACGGAACTAACTGTTCTGCCACGCAGTTTACATCGTGAAGTTTACCTTGAAGTCAATGTAAGGGGACCTTGAGAAATTGTTATGAGTGCTATTTTCGATCTTCGTAGGAATCAGTAAATAATAAGGTAAGGTGATACAATTTCGGACATTCTGAATGAAATAAGATTTGAATCCAATTTTCAATTCAAATTTAATTTTTCCTATTTTATTGGTACCTTTCAATACTCTCCACACGAAGAGAAGGTTACTAAGCTTGAACTTCAAAAATTGGATTCAAATTTTATTTCATTCGAAATTGTACCACACTTTACTCTATCGTCTACTTGATAAAATAGCTGATAAAATTTCAGTATAACATTACGTTTTCTATAAATATATTACCGTTCCATGCATACATTTAACTTCTTAAAATTGCACACTTCTTATTTACGTATATTTTAAATATTTCATTTACATCAAGATTGCTGCACTTCATATTTTCTATTTTTGTGAAAAGTAAAGAATTACAAGGGAGGGAACAGGGGGGAGGTTCTTTTTTTATTAATCACGATTAGCATATAATATTCTGCTACAAATAGTAAATATGTATATAGTATCGATTGAGATACTTGGACGCTTATATAACGTATGCAATGTAAACAACATGTGGATATTTATACGTGCAAGCTAAACAATTTTCCCTAAGTGGTTTATGACCAGGCGCGCCTCATCCAATAGCGTATCCAATAACGACGTACGCGCTATTAATGCATATAATTAGCAAAAAAAAAACGATACGGGAATCGCGTTGCGTCGTTCTATGTGAAAATATTGACTTGTTTATCTACTACGTTCAGAATTGCGATTATTGTATAATTAGAATCGCTTTAACCTCAAGCAGAAAAAGTCATTGAAATGGCATCAAACTGGTGCCAAGATAATTATAGAAATATTTTTCAATCAGTTCTTATTAATTTTAATTATTGCATTATCTTGATATTATTGTAACTTGTGAATCTGCTGAAAACGCTTCATATATATATAT